ATTTTTCAGATGCAGCTGGCAGCGTACTTAGCTAAACAAAACAATCGGTGAGTGAGTTTATTTTATTATTCTTGTAGAATATTTAAAATCGCGCATTGACAATTACATTTTTCTGCAATTTACATTTTCACAAATTGATAATAAAATATAAAATTATTTTTTATCTAAAGCGTGAAAGGTTTTACATAAAATATGTATGCAATTTTTTTCGAAAAACGTAAAATTGTAAAATTTTGAAAATATAAATTATGCAAACATATATATAGAAAAGAAAATTTTATAAAATCATAAAAATTTAGAAACTAAAATTTTGAGATAATGAATGAAATGTTTGTGCAAAAGAGCAAATTGTCAAAGTACGGTTTCAAATGTGCAGGTTGGCGGTGCGACGAAGGGCAGTTATTGATGTAATTGCTTATATAGCAATTGATATAATCGATTTGCTTTTATGGTTTTTATACACATTTTACTGAATGATTTTCTTTTCTTGTCGGATATCGTAAAATTCAAGAACCTTTTTGAAATGTGATATACTTTACGAAAAGAGTCTCTTCTGCACAGCGGCAAAGAAATATCGGCACATTATATTATCTTTTTTTACCATAATTCCGTTAATGCTTTTATAATTACTCGAATAATCTTTATTTATTATTTAATTTATAACTTATAGACACGGCATAAAATGCATTTTATCTCGTATTTGCGTATACTGCGGCGCGAATTTGTAAATCCGTGCACACAGAAAAATATCATTCTATTGCTAAGAAAAGTAATTACTCGGCTTACTTTTCTTTTTTTAAGTAACAATTGTCTTTAATAAAGAATATTTTCTTGATAATAGTCTTAAAATATACTCATCACAAATTTTTGATAAACTCATTATCATATACTCAAAAGAAGTAGTTATTTTTTGGTGAAGAATATTATAAAATTGTATCGAAGAAAAGTCAGATTTGGTTAATTTAATAAGCAAATAGAATTCTTTTTCTAATTTAATATTCTTGATTGAAGTATTAAACTTACTGGGATCAAAATATATTTTGAATAAATTTGATGCTTATGATGAACTTACGATAGATTTGCGTATATATGAACTTATAAAATACTTAAAGCAAGTAATATTTACTTAAATACAGTATGTATTTTTCTGTGTGTGATTTTTTAAAGTGAAATATGCCAGTTGAGTATCATTTGACAAAGTGTACAGCTAGTTGTAAATGTGTATTTTCAATTAAACACCTTTCTACTTATTATTAGTTGCAAGTGACAGCTTTATTGGCGCGTTTTATGCAATTTAATTGCTGCCGATACAGGGGCGTCTCTCGAGGCCGTATGAAAGTTTTACATAAACTAATAGCCAGCATTTTAATAAGGGTTGATGTCATGCGTTACTCACCGATTATGGCGGAACAGGTTCTGCTAGACGCACGATAATCTAACGCAACGATCGATACCAGCCTTTCAATTTGTCTCGCAGTCGTCTTTCAAAGTGCAAAGTCGCTTGGCGACTGGACGTTTCCTCTTGCTCTCGATAATCGAAGCATGAATGAATTAGCGACTTTCTATTTCAACCAATATAAAAAATAATAAAATAAAATTTTAGAATTTTTTTTTTATAAAAATTTCTAGGAAAAAGATTAATTTTCTTAGACACAATGTTAATAGAAATAACCACTTTATTCAAGTAAACATCATATAATTACGTGAAAGTAATATTAACTATTGCCCACAAGCTTGTTTAAAAATAAAATGCAGTAACGGAAACCTTTATCGTATTTTCCGTTTTATAATTATCCAATAATAAATATACACTGTACGAGAAAAGCTTCGTAAAGAGTCAGGATGTTTAAATACTGTTTACTATCTAACGGTATTTTACAAATTTATTATTATTGAAAAGTGATTTCTTCCGTCAGTGGACGATGCAACAAAGCATTGACATACCATATGCATACGTGTACATTTGCTTTTATTGTCGACGTATTCTTTTGTGATGCATATCTAAGAAGAAGTGTCAGTTTCGTGCTTATTATTCGTCTCATCATCGATGCAAAACTGTTCTTTGACAGTTTTGTCCATCTAACAAATCATCCGATAGCGACGATAACCTGTCAGGTTAAAAACATCCGCATATTTTGAAAACGATAGGAAAAAGATACGGACAGTTTATTTAAGCATATGACACGTTTTTTACTGTAGCTATTTTTAGTAAGAATGCAAATATACAATATGATTCATGATATATCTGAATATATTTATGATACATTTTTTTATGACTTCTAACAAACTTTTATACTACTTTATTATACACAACATACATTTAGAACAGTTTTACAAAATGTCTATGATATATAAATTTTTTAAGTCATTCACTTTGGAAAATATAATGGCTATAAAAATCGTACTTTTTTTTACTTGAATGCTAATATTACTTATGAGTAAAAATTCAAAAATAGAGAGTTGTGTGATGGCAATACGAATAATCACAATAGACCACGTGAGTCGGGCTTTTCGTAGGTGTCTAATGGAGGGTTGATGTCATGCGTTACTCAGCGGACGAGATGGAACAGGTTCGGTCAAGATGTGTACATTAGTCGCTGATGTCATAAGTGCAAAACGAGAGGGGTCTTGCATGCTAGACAGGGACACACGCTCCCCGCGCGCTATTCCTCATCGATTCGAGAAATCATGCTCCAGCGTTCTTTTTTACTTCTCGATCTTCTCTTTTCGAGCACATCGCGAACAGCACCGTCGTAAGAAGCCGGTCTACATTTGTTTGAAATTATCAAAGAGCCGCTTTCTCATGTTAAGAGATTTAATATTTAATTTCAAATTAGTATTTTATTTCAACAATACTGAAACTAAATATTGCTATTCTAAATATTCTTGTGCGAGAAATAAAAAGGCGATATATAATCATGGATGAATCAAAGAACGATGGTGTTTGTTTTTTTAAATCAAGTATTTAAATTTTGACGGTCTTTTTCCACTAGATAATAATAGTGTGTTTTGAGTAGATTTGTTGGAGTACGTTTGATACAGTCAATCACATCTAGCGATAATTAAATTAATGGCTCATTCTATCTCTATTCTATCTCTCTTCATTAATCGTCGTTATTTATTACATTTCGTCTCTACGCGCTATTCTCCATATATCTCTAATGCATGTTTAATTCGATGCGGTTGTTTATATCCATTAATCCTATTGGCAAATACTCCAAAGTAAGCGTATTCAGAACAGGCAGGTACGCGATTGATCCTCTATCGATTTTATCGAAGTGACATGTTGATCGACGTTATTAAAATGACATCGTGATCGACGCACTATTGGTCGCTCGAATAATTCGACGTTATGCCATTATATATGCGGTTAACTTTTAAACACAGAGTTCTGTCAATAAATCTGAGTGCCGAATTTGAATTTCCAATAATTTTCAATCATTATATTTAGAATGCACACTAAATCGTTGTTTTTATTATAAGCAATGATACGTATATAAAGAATTTAAAGAAGTAAAACTCTTAAAATATAAAAAAGTAGAACGATATACTGAAATTTTATAGCATTCAAAGAACTTTTTTTGTCTTAAAATATAATATTAAGATATTAAAATCAAAATTTATGCAAAAATACTTTTTTTTATATCGGGTTTTTTTGTTTTATTTTTATTCGCAAAAATTTATTTCTTTATTACATGTTTTGTCATTATCGCGGCTTACATAAGATGGCAATTATACTCTGTATTTCTTACAAAGGAGAGAATAGAATAAGAGGCATATTCTTCTCCGATTGAAAGTGCCGCCCGTGGCATTATGGGGGTTTTGTAGAAGCAAAGTGGAAGCGAACGGAGGAAACGAGAAAAGAGGATTCATAAAGGCTGCTGCATCGAACTGCACGCGATACGAAGAAATCGAAACTTTCTCGGAACTTTGCTTCCTCCGAGGAACGTCCTTCGCGGTCCTTCTCGTGGCGCGTCGCACGTGTCCACGAACACGCGTGATGCACTCTCCGTAACGTCATTTCTTCGAAAGTTTGCGGGAAACGTACGTTTGCTTTACTCGAACGTGAAAGTTTTATCTGATAATAATACCGGTGACACTGCTGCATAGAATTAAATTTCTGTGTTTAATTCTGTGTTTTATTTATGAATAATTGAACTTTAATAAAACTTTTATTATCTCTTTCAGGTAAAGTAAGTAGTAAAGTTTTGAAATATATACTTTGTTAGTGTACTTTTAAAAGCGTGTATTATCATTTTGCAAATCAGATTTGATTGAACTTTCCGTTTTACCTAAACAAAAAAAGCTGTAGTTTTTATTCATAAAGCACTGTTTTGTTTTGCTTATCTTTTGTTATTTTGGTTCTTTTTAAAGTACGTGTTTTGTTTGAAAGAGGGGAGATTATAATAAAAGTTTTTTGAGAGAGATGCTTCACAAGTTTGTCGGTTCTTTGGCACGCAGGCTGGGCGTCATTACGCCCGAATATGCGCGCGCAAATTTCGGAATAACGGGTCGACCGAATCAATGAAATTAATGAAATGGTAATTTGTGCGAAGTGTCACGCCCGGCGAATACAGCGAACGATTCATCCGGCAGACTATTGGAGCTTCGATATTGTTTTGATTAAAAGGTTACCGTGCATCATTGATTTCCGAGAAACATGACAATCTACTGTAACGCAAGTTTTATATGACGTGGTATCGTATTCGTTTATTCGCGCTGTTATTAAAAAATTGAATCTTTGCCACGGTTATCCGTGATTATGTACATTACAAGAAGAATGGACCACGATAATGCGCTATAATATAAGATTAAACGGATTAAACTGCTATATCGCATTCTGCATCGAATATATTTATTTTAATAGCTTGCGCGTGGCATTTAGAACATGAAAGTAGTATCTTAAGCATAAAAAATATATGAAAGTTTATTAAGATTTTATAATATTTTTTAAATATTGACGAAGATAATTTTTTATCTGTTTATATTTGTATGTTTAACTCAATTAAAATTTTTTTAAATATTTGCTAAAGTAAGCTTTAAATGA